CCACAGCAAATCAATGCCAGACCAGGTGTAGCTTCTATGGAGAGAAAATGAAAAGCTTAGTTTCTAACTAAACTTTTTAGTTAGAAAAAGTTTATTTTCTAACTAAACTACTTGTTTAGTTTGAAACACCAGAGCGCCACCTTCTGGCATCTATCCAGATCAGTTCAATTCAGATTAAGGAACTGTTTCTGGCTTCGCTTTTCCCCCCCTCCACCTTATCGTGGTGGAGGGGTTTGAGTGTCCCAGTGATCGTAGGAGCCGTCAGGGGTTTCATGCCTCTATTTGGGTCTGGTCTGCCGGGGCAAACGGGTCCTAGGTGAAGGATCGGACTAAGAGCAGCCTGAAAACGGCCTCACCTGTTCAGTTTGAGTCGCTACGTCACATTGAGCCAATGGATGCTGGAAGAGAGGAGACGCAGCGAGCTTCTCCTGCTGGGCAGATCGGAGAGAAGAAAATGAGGATTTAACTATACCGTCCTGATGAGCAGCTACTTTTAGTCCCAGATGAACTCCATCATCCATTCTGGTTCCCTTCATCCATCCATCCAGGTTCCCTTCATCCATCCATTTCTGGTTCCCTTCATCCATCCATTGATTCTGGTTCCATCCATCCATCCATCCATCCATCCATCCATCCTGGTTCCCTACAAATTTGTGATAATTAGGGCACTGTAGGTAAGTGATTAAACTGCGATAAAGGATAGAATCAAATAAGTGTCCTTCCTACTCCTTTTCAAACAGGAAAGGAGTGGTAAGCCAATTATTTTGTTGGTTATGTATGCATGATTTTTTCTGTCCTACAAATTGCCTGTTTTTAAAGACCTGTTTGAGAATAGTGCTGCTGCTGCTGCTATAATTGTTTGTGTGCAAGAAATGAGCTAAGGTGGAATAATTTGTTTGTAGTGTACATTAGGTGCACAGTGACCTGCGCAATCCGGTGGACACATTGTGGCGACGCTGCATTTTATAACAGACTGCCATACAACGAATTTGCAAAAGAAAAAAGAGCTTGTGGTGATCTGCATTTGTAGATGCTGTTTAATTTAATTTCAGTAAAAACCAGTTTCACCCGTCTGATACTCTTTCATTCTTACAAATACCTCTGTATTTAAAATATTTTTAAAAGGTAGGATATTCTCATAAGAGGATTAGTGCAAACATCTTCTTTTAGCTTTTCATTTTAGACGGATAGGATATTCTGATGAACAAAGTGATATTTTTGTGTTTTTATCGTGTATAGAAATTGTTCCAATGCTTTGCTATGCATAACTCCCAAGCTTCCACTTAAGTCTCGTCACTCAAAGAATGTTATCCCAATGATAATATTTAACACAGCCTGCTGTAGTTTTCGGTTTGTAAGCATCACGGTAGAAGTTTTAGACGCGTAGCACCGACAGATAGACATAGCTATCTATCTGTGCTACAGTAGGAAAATCTGACGAGGTAGCACAAATATTCAGAACAAGGAATTATATTTACTTAAAACAAGCTTTTGTTGAAACGTTACTTGTAAGTAAATTTTGTCTCATTTCAAGTGTAATAAGATATTTGCATTAGAATCGACACCAAAAGTACTTGGTAAGATTTTTTTT